TGGAAACTTACAACTAACCTACTTTTTTTATGTACATAAATAGCCAGTTTTCTGGTTTTAAAATAATAAAAAGTAAATTTTGATATAATACGTAAATAATAATTCAAATAATAATTTCATCAATAATAATAATTTTTACTACATTTATTATTTTATATTTTAAAAACAAACTACGCAACTAGGACTTGATTAAAAGTAACTCATTATTTAATAAATGTTTAGCAATAAAAATCAGTTAAGTTAAAAATGTTAAGATATTGAAAATTATATTTTTAAAAAGCTGGTACGTGGAGGTCGCTCTGCTGTACATTAGGTTACAATTGGGTCACTGTAATGGGTGGTGTTAAGTTTGAATTCAACGATAAAAAATCATTGTATACGAAAAACGATTCTGAGCGAAGAGGGTCGGTCAGACTAATAATTTAGTATATTCGATGATATTATTGTAATTAAAGTAATTTATTTTTCTAGTAAGTATTAGTAATACACGCAGTAGATTATATTCATTAAAAAAAAAGTAATATAAAAGAAAAAATATTTAAGAAAAAAAAAATCGTACCTATGTATTTTAAATATTTTTAAACTAATATTATATGTATCTACCTGGAGAATTTTATTGAATTTTCAGCTTTTTAATCAACAAATACAATTTTATTAACATTTTATTAACCTCCTGAAGAAAAAAACTAAATAAACTAAAAGAATTCAAAAATGAAATTGTTTGTAAACTGCTCGAAATATTTTGCACATTTTAGTGGCTTTTAATTATTTTGTCAAAATTCAAAATTCAAATTCTTATAAAAATTTGTTGTCAAGATTGCATGGTTTATAGAAAACGCCGTTATAAGTATTCAGTAAAAATTTCATGTATAAATAATGTTTTTTTTTTTTTTGAAAGTTACATCAAAAACCAAAATCGATTTTGTCGAAAACCAGGTTTCCGTAAAAATTCGCTTTTTTCCTTAATTTTTTTGTTCGTTTTTCCTGCCGCTTTTGAAAACTATTGAGAATTTTTTACCATTGACCCCTCGAAGTACCGATACTATTCTCATTTCTACCAGAAAAGATGCTTGTTGAAGAAAATCTAACCACTTTTACTCTCCAAAATTAATGTGATGACAGAAACAAAAAAAATAAAAAAACAAATTGTAAAATCAATACATTCATCGCTCCGCTAGGAATCTGAAAGAAGTTAAAAAGTTAAAATTGACATAACTTTAATTTTTTAACTCGTATACTTCCAGGTTTGAATAACTACAAAATTTTAGAATATTTGAACGCCTGTGTCTATTATATCATTACTATTTATTATATTATATAAAGACTATATATTATACTAGTGTCTAGTATAAAAGTATATTTTTCATAATCACTCGTACGGGGTGATTACTTTTTAGGATAGTGAGTTTAAAACTCTGTGAACATTTTTGTTTTTTGGATATACCAAAATATAATGTAATATTAATATATTATAATAGAATAATGAAATATATATAGCACTAAATTAATAGTGTCCTGTAACAGCTAACTTTGGATTTAAAAAAATTTACAAGTTCTAAATTAAAATTGTCTTATGAGTAATCACTTATAACGGGTATTTCTGAATTAAACCATATAATGTATGTCTATTTCAAGTACTTTAAAATAGGTTATAACTTATAATTATAAAATTACCCTAATATCAGTTAGCAGAAAAACGACGACGACGAGCGGAGTTTCTATATTATTTGATCTTTCGTATTTTATGCATTTGCTCTCAGAAATAAAATAATATGTGTGTACATAGGGGTAGCATATTGTTCATGAAATTAAATTTTTATTTAAAAAATAAATTTAAGCACCAAAAAAGTATGAAACCAATATTAATTACTTTAAACATCGACGCTTTCGGGCTTCGGCAGAATTCCTGATATTGTGTGTGCACTGCGGAATAAATCAGTTATACGACTGAACTTAAGTCTGAAAATATTCAGATTTATTATGAAAAAAAAACCGTACGGATCGCTTCATGTTTCTTGTTCATGTCTGCAGCTTTGCTAACTGAAATTTTAGATCGATTGCGACTTTGCAACTACTTCGACAAACGCCACGGATTGCATTATAATTTATACTACGTCAATATGATAAAACCATAGATACATAGTATATTAGAAAATTGTATATCAAGGAGGTCTGTGCTTGAGATTTGCTCATTAAGATAATGAAATGAGGTATAACAATAACCAAAATAGTTTATAATTTTAAAATTTAAATTACAACAATATATAAAGTACCAATTATTTTAATAATTAATTAAGGTAGTGTTTAAATATTCGAAGCACAAGCATTTTTTTTATGAGTTATTAAATAAAAATCTTATTGTAAATAAATGTGAGTACTTACTTTTTAGACTTAACATAAAGGTGATCAGTGCCTAATGCATCACATTTACCGTATACCGACTATACCAACTATTGTTTGTAAAATTCCAATAAAATCTTTTCTCTGAATACTGTCGAGCACGAAATTAATAATTAATATTTTATATATTAATTTTGAGTGCATTGGTTAGGTATATTTTAAGCTATTCGAGAATATTTTATATTTTAAATGTCCTTATTTAATTTCCGATAGACATTCAATTATCAGCAGAGCGACTTTCCCAGCTTTATAAAATAATTTGATGAACGACGGCGTCACTTTAATTCGTGGTTCGACCACAAGCAGACGGCATAGTAATATTCGCATATTACTCAACATTTATATAAACTAAAAATAAAAATTATTGAATTTTGCAGGACATAAGAACTTCCGTGTACTGTACTACTGTAGTATTACTAGTATGTACCTACAGCACTATTTATATCTATTTAATTGTATAAATATGTTATTATTCTGCGACCTGGATATGCCGTCGTCGTTTGTACTACAAGCGTATTTTTTTGTGTTACGCGCTCGGGGAAAAAAATATGCCCCTACTTTACCTGGGTAGCAAATTGTCTGTGAAAATAAATTTTAATTTTGAGACTAAAAAGTAAAATATGTAAGCCCCAAAATTATAGGTAATCAAACTTACGTATACATCGACTCTTCGGGAAATATATAGCTGCAAGGTAGCTTGAGTGTAGACGCCATATCGATGAACTTCTTCCTTCATCTAAATCCGAATTGAAAAAATCGAGATTTTTTATAAAAATTACTTGAGTAGAATGAAATATGTTAGCAAACGTTTATTGTTGCCATACACATTTCTTTTTTGTTCAATGAAATTATTAGAATTGCGAATCGTCTCCGGTGAGTGACGACAGTCGGCTTTTGCCATAGATGATAGATATTGTAATATAATATGTTGTCATCAGTTTTCGAGTTTTTGACTTCTTTGGATTACACGATACATTTTTATTTCAAATTCCGCAACAGAATATTATTGGTAGTGTTTAAATCAATACAATGCAGAACGCGGCACTCGGACTAGGTATAGGCCATAGGGCATTTAGATTTTTAGATACACTACTGTCGTGAGTCCATTTTTTTGTCCGGCATCTCACAATATTGTTTTTAGTCTTAACGGATAAACTATTACTTAATATAAAACTCTAGAAGTGTCAAGACATGAAAAAAATTCAAAATTAGGCTTTGAAATTTACAGAAGTAATAAAAAAATGGATACTTTAATCGTGAATATAATATTCTCTCTAGACTCGGCATTAATATGTTATCAAACAATATTATTCGATAATGGTGTGCAGTATTTGCTAAAAAATTGTGTATTATATTATACTACTACACTATAGTGTAATAAATAATGTAATATATATACAGCCGTGTAGGTACGTAACTAAGGCTCTCACATAAAGGTAAGTGACGGGGGAAAAAACCTTATGGCCAAGGTTCGGGACCTTTTTTTTTTGCGAGACTTTTTTGCATACTTTTTTTATTTATTGCGAAATGTAGCAGAGTGCGAAATAAATTCATACCAATTCTAAAATTTGAATGTGCATAATTTGCATAGTTTATATATATTTTGCCGGAAACCGCTTATTTTTACGTTATTGTGCTTAATTTGCATATTTTAGAAAAATTTTCGAAATTTCAACTTCACAAATTTCACCCGATCTAAAAAAGAAAATAGTAATGCAGCTTACTCGCAGTCTTAAGTACCTATTTGCTTCTCCCTGTTCAATTTCTCTTAAAAGAAACCATAAAATAGGAATAGCAACGTCCTCCTCGTCGGACGACATTTTGATGACTACTTGATATATTTTTATTTGACTAACTATGTTTTATCTAGTGAGCGACAACAATGCTTTATTATGACTAAAGCAAAATGACTAAATATGACTTACATTTCTTCAGTCAATTTTGCTTTACTAGTGTGCGGTCACCCTAAGGGTTAGGTTAGTTACTGAGAGTGAGCTAAAGTTTTGAAATTTGCATGTTGTATTTATCAATTTTTTAACAGTCTAGTATATTTGGTGAAAATAATGTAAATGTTCTTTCCTTACAAGTGTTACAACACCAGAACTTAGTTTTAAAAAAAAACATTCGAAATCACTCTAAATATTCTAGAATTGTGGATAGAATGTTTAAAAAAAAATGATAAATAGATACACGCCATACATAAATCAAAACTTTGGCTCACTCTCAGTAAGTCAATTTTCAAGATTCAAAAAAACTTTATAAGTCAAAGTTGATTGAAAAAGAATAAAGTAATTAGAATTTAAACTCAAAAAGGAGGTTCACAATTTAAAAAAATTATTATGCCCTGCCAGTGTGGAATTTTTTTTTAAATTTAATTTTTCAAAAATAAGTATGTAATATGTATCATATTCTTATATTTACCCCTTTTCGTAGTAAAATAATCCAAATGAAATTCAAGGCATGCGTTCAAAATTTTAAGGGCTACCTATGTATCGTTGAAACCATTGAATATAAATGTATAGGTAGGTACCTACATTGTACAATAATATTACAAATTATTATATATTTGTTTATTATAAACAATTATTAGTAATGACTTATGAGTTATTATACTACAATATTAACAAGGTGTAATGAATAAGTAAAACAAGAAATGGAATGATTTTGAAAATGAAAAAAAAACATTTTCTTTAAATAAAATTGTACAGTCTCAAATATAAATACATACTTTCATTTAAATACATTTTTCTTAAAATTATTATTTAAATAGTGTCATCAACATTTTTTTTTACTAAATTATCTTCACTGTAAACAAGCCAATTTTTCCGATCACTGTTGTGTAAATTAATTAATGGTTTTTTTATTATGTAGAACCATAATATACCTAAAATAGTAGAGATAATTATCTCGGCGTAGAATCCATCAATTATAGTACTGCATTTTCCACCTGCTGCTCGACAAGACTAGAATCATAAATGTATGCATTTATATAATTTTCAAACTAAATATTTTTAGAGTATTTATTAAAATATTGTTTTAAAGAAAAATTAAATAGTGTACAGAAACAGTTTAAAATAATTCAAATTTTATACAACTATGACTGACTGATAACTGATACCATTTCATAGTTTATTTAAAATATTAATCTTAATTTTTAGTTTCTGAGATTTGTTTTGGAAATTGAGAATAATTACTATTACATTTAAATAAAATTCGAATTCAACACAAACTGATGAACACTTTATCATTAATTACTTTGATCAATGAAGAAGCCGCACAATAGTTTTGAGAGTTGGTTGTACACTGTTTGAAGGTAAGAACGTCAACCAACCAAAGTGAACCCGTCTTTGTTATAGCTAAGCTAACGTTTGCAAAAGTACTTAGCAATGTCATGTAAATTCCACCAAAATTCGGATCACTTACTTTAGATACAAACGACAGGTAAATTACGTACATAATGAATGAAAATATCTATAAGAATTAAATAAAATATTATATTATACATTAGGTAAGGAATTTTTATAATTTTCTGTTCAAAAACGCATTACCAATTAACTTAAAGACAATTTTTTTATTCAGTATTTTATACAATTTGTGAATTTGTAGAATGTCGACCAAAATATAACATTGGTAGGTACATCGATACAATAAAATAAAATAATTCAATGATGAAATTATATAAATATGAACGTGATTTACTTGATGTGTTATATAGGTTAATCCCAAAATGGTGTAAAAACTTGTTTGGACAATACCACCAGTTCTCAAAAGCGCTGGAGTATAATGCAACAACAACGAGAACGCTAAACCATGCAGCAATCTGAAATATTGGAACAGTTGAAATTGTTTTCGTTTTCAAAATTATTTTAATGTAAGTTGTACTTTCGAATTGTAATTAAATATCTGATTCGATATTTATAATATTAAGATTTATTCTGCACAAAAACTTTTTGAAAAGTTGAAACATTCATGATCATTTATTATGAATTATTATAAATCCAAAAGCGTATACTTTATAAATTTATATTTAAAATACCTGTATGGTATACACTGCATGTAGACATCCATCGATTTCATTGAATTTGTTGTTTTAGTCATAGCTATAGGAACTATCAATTTTACTAAAAACACCATTATGCCAATTATGACAATATTGTTTTCAGATACTCCTGCTTCCATAAATTCCATATTTGTCACTGTGTCGACAGTGGCGAATCCTAACTATGAATAACATAAGTCGTAAGTAGTCTATATAGAGTACCTATAGAACAATAATTAAGCAAATAAAAATGTAAGTTGTGTATATCACGTCTATAAACTTGATGATTGTTTGGATATTTATATTTATATTTTGTATGTTCTTACTTCAAAGTTATAGCAATAGTTAAGTTTAGTAGAAGTTATTATAGGTAGTTAATAAAGTATTAAGTTTTAAGTGAAATAATTACATAAATATAGAATAAGACTTAATTTTATAAAATGAAGACATTTTGGAAGGAACCATATTTTTTCAAAAAAGTTACGTCAAAACCACCAAACCAATAAACACCTTAATTCACTTGTATGTAATTTGTAACTGAATACGTATTGAATACAAAAGTACACAGTCTGTGTAACACAGACATATTGAGTCGAAAATCTAAAGTTCTAAATAATATATGTATCTATATAAATAGATGATATAATCAATATGTGTAGTAAATGTATTGATAATAATACTTATTATTTCATTTGAACGATCAGATTTGTACCAGAGCACTAAATAATCAAAATTGTTCACAAAACAATGTGACATATTTTCCTTAAAAGCGCAAAATGTTTTCGCTTACAACTTAGAGGTAGACCAAAGTATAATATTCTCCCATAAATAAGCCAATTGTTAAAAAATCAAAAACTACAATGAAAATAATTATTATTAACGACTACAAATCTATTTCAATTTGATTTACCAAAATAAAAAGATTTAGATAGATACAATTGTACACGAGCAGTGATATACGCAGGGATAGGATTCTAAGATTTTAACCCCCCCCCCTCCTGGAATTTCTTCGTTCTACAAAAAAATTTTATTTACTACCCATAATCAATACACACATAGTAGATTAATTGTAAGTTATTTTAAATAATTATAAAATAAATTGTAAAATGGTAAGTAACATCAATAACCATTGTTTCGGTTTTTTTCGGCTGATTAAGAACATTGTTAAACGTCAACCACAATCGTCATATCATGTACACATCATTGATTATGACTACTAGGCTTGAAGAGGTTCTGTAGACGGCCAGCCGCCAGGTTATAGACCTATACTGTAAATGTTAACTAAATTCGAGACTTATTCTATAATTCACTTCAACCAATTACACAAAAACTGTTTAGCAAAAAATAACGTTAATGGGGATGAACCACAGGTTATTATATTAGCAATTAATATTAGCTGGTAAAATCCTAACTGAACTAAAATCTTGCTTTCGCTACTGTTTATTATTATTATTGGAAATAAATATCTGATAATATATTAATTAATATTCTTCGCTTACTTTTGCAGTTAGAAATATCACGCCTAGTATTTTAACGTTTGGCAACTTTATTATATCCCAAAGTAACTTGTACGTGTTTAATACGCCCAGACCTTTTTGTTCAGCTGACGGTTGGATTTCGCTTTTGAACTTGGACACACATGCCGCTGCTACAATGTAGACGATTCCCCAAAAATATAAATACCCTGTTTGAAAAATCCAACTAATAGATTTGTATACATATATTTATATATATGTGTGTTATATTATTATAATATAGTATAATAATATACAATATACATATTGTACATTTAACCACACACATACACACCTACTTAATATACAACTGTGCGCAAAAAAGCATGCAACAACATTATACCAGGTATAATATTTACCTATAGTGCAAGTAGTCGATAGGCTTACCTTTTAAAGTGATAATACCACCAGATTCATGATAAAAACGCAGCCATTTGTTGCAAAACGTTTCTGATCCGAGTAACAATAGAACTGCATATCCTAAGAACGATCCCAATGAATTACCAATCGCGTTGCACATTGACGAGTAGTGTATGTTATGCCTAAACAAATTACGTTACTTACGTTGTTAGTAGGTATTATCAGTTTTCTGTTATTGTTTTTTGTGTCATAGAAGTTTAGGATTGTTAAGAATTTCTACTTAATACAATTGTTTATAATTTTATAAATATACACTATAATATACAATATTATATATCAAACTTTTGTAGCATAGAGCATGCCCATCCGTCAACTACAATATCCTGAGTAGCAGCCAAGCAATTTATGATTAACCAAACGACAGTCAGCGGAATGACGTTTGAATCCTCGGTACTCGACAACCAGCCATTGATATAAAAACTACACACCAGTAGACAAGTGCCTAAAACATAAAATTATAATAAATACTATTTAGGGATTTTAACCGACCGTTTTTAAGGAGAGCAATATATTATATAATATATTCAATTTTCTATGTGCTTGTCATGTAAATGTGTGCGTACCTAGTTATAGTATGGTCATTACTGCATAAGCGGAAATGGAAAGTTCCGAAAAAATAGAGTGTTTTATAGTGGTATGAGATTAAAGTCTCCAAGGCTCACATTGATGTTACAGTCACACTTAAAAATTCTTAACATTTGAAATTTAAAAATCTTTTTCTTGGGTAAGAGTTCAATTTAAAAAAAGTAAAGCAGTTATTTTTATGTGGTCTTTATGGCTAATTTAAACATGTTTTCGGAAATTATATCCAATTATTAGAATAATTAGTACAATTGGGTTAAAATAGGTTTATTTTTATAAGAAGCACAGTTGAGATCGAATCCCTTTCAACTGTAAACATTTCAGTGTTTTCTAGTCACTACTCATATATTTATCAAATCCAATATGAAGGTACACGTATACTTATAATACATATTTAATTAATAAGTTAATATAATATACATTATGGTCAGTAATAGTATTAGCCATTTAGGATGGACCTTATCCGTAAATACTTCGTATATATGTGGATAGTGTAATAGAATTATTCCGACACCTATAAAATCCGAATTATTTTTTTATATCTTTCATTAGGTATTCATTTCAAAATTAAGTGTTAGGAAAAAAATGTTATTAAATGCTTTGAATACTATTAATTGTTATTGTACAGTTTATAAATATACTGAAATACATTATTCAATCTATAAACAATTTAAACTAATAAATCTAATAAATATTGAATAAAAAAAATCAAATAAAAAATATTTTTCTGGTTGTAAATCATTCTATTTTTTAAATAATGAAAAAGCATTATATATAGCATTTAATTGCGTAGTCGTAAACTTGTGGGTACGGTATTTTACTCTAGTTCATTAAATAGTCTTGTTGTTATAGTATACAGTTTTTTGTATATTATATAAATTTAAATTTATGAACTATAGTAGTACTTTGGTAATAACATATCGATTACCATTATTTTTTTAATGATCAAGAGTCAATACTTTTAATGTGGCCTGAAAGACGTTTTATTGTACATATATTAATATATTATATGGTACATACATAGAAGCATTAAACACTAAAATGGCCTAATTCTTTAATCTGTTGAATGTAATATGTATTTCGTAGAAATCAGTTAGATGAAAAATTGACAGCAGTTGATTGATTTTAACATAAAAATTAAATCTTAATTAGAAATGATATTATAATTTCGAGTGTGATGTTCTGTAAACATAATCATATCATTATTGAAAAATGAAAATCCAAAAAATTGATATATTTGATCAATACTTCAAAGCGTACCATATGTATTCAATATTTAAGTGTTAACTGTTTAGTTTACTTTAAGTTACCAAGCAGTATGTGTACAGGAACGAGCCACATTTTTCGCCTTCCCACTGATGGACAATAAATTGAGTCAACTAACGGAGCCCATAAAATTTTGAAAGTAAACGGCCACGTGCTCACACTAAATATCGCCTACGAAACGAAGTAACATTACATTATAAACAATCCATCAATCGATATCATATTATTATAAATTACTAGAACTCCTACGTTGGATATTCGACATTTTGTATACTTTACCTGATCATAGTACGAAAACTGTTTAGATTTTAATAAAATCGGAAATGCATCACTGAATCCCAATGGTACACCTTGCAGTATATATAAAAACAAGAGTTTTACTAAGTTCCACCTGTCACCGTTTAAGTTATGAACTTTGGTGATTGTTTTGCAGTTGTCTGAATTGTTCTCTAACCTTTGAATTGGAACAAGGTTTATAGTGCTTACAGTAATATTTTGATCATCCATCATCACTCGCATTAATGACCTAAGAAATTAAATACTATGAATATCGTTTATAACATAACAATTTATATAAATACCATTAAATAACTAGGTATCCGCACTACCGGTCTTTAAAATTATATCAAATCGAATAGTAATTTTATAGAACTGTTGGTCTAGTAAAACTTTTCCTCCTCGTAAAATAACAATTGATATGACTCGAGGCAGACATACCATGTTTTGAACTATTATATAATATTTTATGCTATTATCTTTATAAAATGTACACTGATTAACACACTAGTTAATTGGTCATTTAGGATACCAAACTGTGATGCACGACATCGTTGTGTTATTAGTACAAACAATATTCACGGTACAATGCCACAATGTGTATTTATAAACTCATCAGCAGTGTATTATATATTTATATGACACTTATAATTATTATTGGTGATAACAGTTTTAATCGGTGACCAAATAATGATTTTAACGATCTATAGTGACGCATCACCGTTAAATGTGTAATTGCGATTTGCGAATACTGCCTTCGTGCGGTTTTATTATAAAAATTAAAAACAGATATCTGCCGGATATCATGGTCGTGTTTGGTAATTTTTTTGGCAGTAAGTTGGAGATTATGTGGGTGATTGGATGATCAAACATTATTATGAATAAACCAAAAATAAATATTAATGGGAATGTTAAAAACTTCAAATCCGAAATACCGCATAATATAATATACCAATACTCATAACACCGTGTCACCTTGATCTTGAATACGACCGCAGTCAACCGTCAACGTTTCAATGTTTCAAGAACAATTCCGCGTCTTGACTCTTGATCTATCCCCTCCCCCATTCCTCACGTTTCGTAAGTTCCGTTTACGTCTTAACAAGTTTAAATTCCCCGCCTTTATAATTATGGGTTCAATCTTCAACGTTTCACTTCGTTTCGGCAAGTGGATCGTTGAATTCGATGTTTTCGATATGTACTTATTATAATTGCATATTATCCCCTCGTGCTAACGAAAGTTCCATAACTGCGAATGTTTGAGATTCATCATAGTCGTTTTTTTTTATTTCATGTTAGGTTGTCAATTTTTTATTTTGTATCCGCACTACATTTTTAAATTCCATCATACAATTTTAAAGTTTATCGTCTATAGTCTATACTCTATAATCTATAATTTAATAGTCTATACTCTATCTTATCGATACAATAATTGTTATCTGGTATTGATCATCGTTAAATGTATAAATGTCATAAAATAGTTATATTAAGTGTACACGAGAGTATGTATACGTAAGTCGATTTTTCCGCGATGTCATTAGAAGTCACACGCGTTCAAAACTCACACTAAACAAATAACTATTTGTAGGTACCTACTTAATTAAATTATTTTTAATAACCCTTTTTGTATTACTTATTACTTTTATAAACAAAAAAAATGCTAATTAAAATGTATATTTTGAATGACCTTTTTTTGCTTTTTATGCTCTGGCCCGATAGATTTTAATTTCCTAATAATTGGCCCTCAAGTAACTTTGATTTGCCCATCCCTGCTATATATGATATTATTATCTGATCAAATTGTCACATCCATACACGTATATTATGGTTAATTTTATATTTTACTCAAATTAAACCTAGCACACAACTAATATATTTTTCTTTTATACCCAGAACTAAGTTAGTAGGTATATTACTTTTTACCCGTTCAGGGATTGAGACAATGGAACTCAATTAGTATACAGGTTACAATGATGATTATTATTATTATAACATTGGAAATCAATAATTAACTTAAATTGAAGATACATAATTTAAATACCTACCTGCTACCTGTATTAGTGAATTGTTATGGACCATTTAGTATTTTGCAAATATCTTGCAAATGGTTAATTTTATATCATTATTATTAAAATATTCTTGTTATCTAATCCAACCTATTTGAATTATCTGAAATTGACAAACTGTACAAATAAGTTTAATGTTTTAATTCAACTATGCTTTTCATTAGTGTTCAGAATTTTAGTAGTCAATGCATGTTTTAACTAAACTGTTAGACCTTTTAATGTTTTGCATCAAAATTAAATACGTATTGAATTATTAAAAATACGCTAAAAGATGTTTTTAAAACCTAGCATAGGTAATAACGATTATATTAAAATTAATTTATTAATATTTTCTAATGCAAAAATAATGTTTAAAAATCATACCTTAAACATCTTGTTGACTAGTTAGATGGAACTAGAGTAGTGGCCAAGACAAAACAAAAGTAGAACTAATTGTTGCTGAAATATTTCAAGACGAAAGTATGAAAATTATTACAGTTTTAGGCATATAGGTTTCCAATGATCGTAGTATCCTACGCAGTCATTAAAAACCATAGAAGATGAATTATGGATCGCTGAGCAATGTGTTGGTTAATAACCAAAAATATAACCCATTTAAAATTAGTATTAGTAAAACTTTGCCTTTGGACAAATGAATTCTCAAAACGGTCTGACTTCAATCTCCATGTTTTGAGACAAGAACATACTCAATGACAACAAAAAATAAATGTCCGGGCTGTTATGTTAAATGACAATTTAAGTGTCTAAAACTATTAAACGATATGCAATTGTATAATAAGATTGTTAATAAAAAAAATTGCTTTGCTGTAGTTAATTGAATTTTACCAATTATTTCAATTAAAACTATTAATGAATTTACTAAACTTTATAGGGGTACTAACGGGTATAGAAAGTTTGATATTTCAGGAAGTCTTAAACTCTTAAGCCCCCTCCCTCCTAGCTACAGAATTGGCTAATAGGTATTAGTGGTATTACAATAAATTATAGTACCTATTATGATTGTATATACATAATATTAAATAACTTATTTAATGTTATTTATGACATTCAATTATGTTCGAAATCAACTCTGGACATAAAATCCAGGTTAATCGAAGAATAATAATTTATATACTATAACTAGCATTATAACATGTCTTATCTATATTATACAAATATATTTCTTTGGGATATTAAATGAAAAAAAGAGTCATAGAGATGTCCATTCTCCTATCCACCCTTCCCGTAAAAACACCACCGAGATACTATTGTCTTAATAATGATACTAGGTATGTATATTACATAATATGAATATCAGAATGTATTATGTAAGCTCGATGCTTCATTACGTTGTGTAGAATTACATTTAATTGAAATAATTATTGACTAAACTCGCTTCACTATCTATTTGCTCCTCTTCAGAAGCATACATACAAATCACGTGATGTAATTAAATATCATAAATGCTGTGCATTCATATGTTGATTCTTTAAAAAAAACAAAATTCTCAGTCTAGCGAAAATACAAATGTGAATTGCATCCTGGACGCAATTCATATTACTTTTTGCTCTAACATTTTTTTGTTGATGGTTTCCAAATTTATTTTTCATTTTAATGATATTTTTACATATTTAACAAAAATCATAATAATTATTAATATTAATAATAACTAAATACTAAGGAAATCACGATTAAAGATTAAATTGGCCAATAAATATAAATACAGACAAAATTAAATTAATATGATTATGACTTATGATTTCACAGTTTCAATTTTTTTTTTTAAGTATGTAAATATGACAATTTATAGCGTATACCTATGCTATTATGATTTTACAGTTTCAAATTTTTTGTTAAAGACTAACGTCTGAACGATATAGATACATCGTATATAAATAAATAATAACATGATGGTATGGACTATAGTATTATGACCATACATTTGACCAATACTCAAAAAATGACCCTTAAAGCCCATACCGTTCCATAGGTAGTTAATTTCTTATTTTCTAATATTATTTCTAGTCTAATAATCTGCTTCTTCATAATGCATTGTACACTAGATAGTTAATTATTATGCAATTTATAACTCTACAATATCGTATCAAACTAAGTCACATGAATACTTATAATCTATATGTCTATAATAAATTAATAAATTAATAAATTACACTATGACGAGGTAGGTAAACTCAAAACCTATACTATTTGTATTTATTTCTCAAAAAAATAATACTGGACCCCATCGAGTCTCTCGGGTAGGACCCAATGAATCCAATCTGGCAACCTATAGCCTATGCAATATAAATTAATTTACATTGACACTAAAAGAGATATGTCAATAATAAAATAGATACAAAATACTAAACAATTTCTATAATACTATATACCTAGTTACCTAATATTTAATACCCCTGACATTTCAGAAAAATTTAAAAATGGTTTCAGTATTCTGTTTTAAGCAAGTAGTAACCATATATTAAAATTGTAATTTATATGCAGGTTGCTGTAAAAGTCTAAAATGTTGGCAGTGGCGTACCAATAGGGTGGCATGGCGAGCAAGTGCCAAGGGCCTAGGGCCCCAGAAGGCCAGGGAGGGCCCTTCAAAAAATGTGGCGATTTAAAAAAAAACAGATTACTGTTATTACAGAAATTTAGTTATTAATAAAACTAAGTTCTAGTTAAATTAAATTACTTTAAAGTAAAATAAATCTAATAACTAGAAAAATGACTGATGCACGCAACACGCTTATAGGTCGATTATAGATTATATTTTTATGTGCATTTTTATTATTTTTTTTTTGCCCACTTAAGAGCGGCGACTGTGATATTACTATATTAGTATAGATATATTAATATAATAATTATTCTGGAACAGAAATAACAAGAAAACGCACTCTATATTTAGAGTATAATTGAAATAGCCGTCGTTTTTCGATATTATTTTGTCATTAGTTATTCTGTCGTCAGTCGTGAGTCGACGACTCGTTGAACCAAATAATTAATATTGTGATCATGTCGAAAAAAGTACCTAATGGTATGAAAAGCATAAAAAAAAAAGCAAGAACAAGAAAAAGTATCAAACTGCATGCTTAAAATAAGTGGTTATTTATATTATTTAAAAAAATGAAATACATATTATTATGTGTAATAAAAAAATGACCATATTATTCATAATAGTATAATAAATATGTTTTTAATTTTGTATTACCTTTTATAACAGGGGTAAGTCTAGATATAAATGATGCGAGTAAGTGCATGCTCTTCATATTACAAATTTGTAAGATCAAGGTCCAAGGGCCGTCTGGATTTTTTTGCAACGGGCAATTGAAGTTTTAGTTACGCCACTGAATGTTGGGTATAATTATGCACAAGACATCAGCATATTAAAGTTTTAAAAGATCCTAGTTGAAAGACTGCTGAAATAACCACGTATAAACTTATTTAAAATTTAAGGTAATTTAATATAATAATAATAAGGTTCTTAAGAACCTGGAATTGAGCGCACTCGCTTTTCTAACTTTCTAACTTTCGTTTGTGATTATTGCACCATCCGCAACCGAACTAATGCACCAGCCCCGCCACCACCAGGTGTTCGATGATCTCCAGTCAAATCCTCCGAAACCACTGGTGTAGTGAAGCCGGGTTATAAACTAATATGTTATATATAATTACTGTAGTTTGAAAAAAAAAACTTTTTTAACTGAATTAGGTTAATTTTATTTATAATCTTAACTTTAAGCTTATCGAGAACAATATTTTTTTCGTTAACTTTTAACTTCAACTTAAGGCAATTTAATTGAATTAACTTAACTTGTTACAGTTAATTATTTTCATTAACTTGTCCAACCTTGTATATACCTACCTACTAATAATTAATATTGGTTTCTTTACTTTTTGAATAATATTTAATTATTTCCACATTATAATAATATATTAATTTGTATCTATATATATTATGCAATGTCCGGTGTCCATTGTCCATGCTTGTATTAGGTATGAAATAATAAGTATACGAAAATCATCGCGTCCGGCAACGCCTAATTTTGTGTCTGTGCGTTTTATTATTATAATTATTTTATCTCATTGCTTAAAAATTGTTAACCCAAGGTCACTGTCACCTCGAATCGTCATTTGGTAGTGCACTCTACTCTGCAGCTCGGTATTTATAAATAACTAATAAGTACGTAATAAGTTTACCTATAATAATAATGTATTATGCTCGATCTGGAGTTTGTGCTTTCGACCGGGCAACGCCCTGTATATTTGGTAGAGCCCCTGGGCACCGAAGCACCCACCCCCAGCATACAATGGTTAGGTGAATACCAGTTCTTTATATATAAGAACCGAGGTACCTACAATTGGCATCACACTACATCTACTCAAATCTCAAGTACATACATCGACCACAGGTTGAAGTTTGCAGATCCGTTGAAGACAACGCAATAAGAAACCACTAAACACGAAATGGCTTCTTTCAAGTATCTGGTGAGTGACTTCAACAACCTAATATCTCGGCGTAGATGTTATTTTTCTATGAGTACAACGTAAGACTTAATGGTTTTAGATCGATTCTTATAAATTCAAATGCCCAAGTCAGTTGTTAGTATGATCAGAATGATGCAATATTTTTGAAAAAATTCTTGACTTTTGAAATCCTGTCGATATAAATGAACAAAATAATCTCACCTTCACAAATGGTGAACATTTTCAATCAAACGGCTTGCAAACAAGTAGGAGGCCTTCGGATACAATTAAAAATTTATGTGAAATATATTTTATTAATATTTTTAATATTTTTATTTAATCATACGCAATTACTCAATATACAATTTTAATCAGCTTTCTGGGGTGTTTACTGTTTACAATAATAATTATTAATTATTCGGTTTGAGGTATATATCGTGATTACTTATTTTAATAATGAGGATACAATTATAATACGATATAATTAAAAATACAAAACAATTTATAGGTACCTAACAACTGTCGAAAATTGTCAAATGGAGTAGAACCTGAAAAAAAATCAACTAGCTTTTGTTATAGTATTGCTTTCATATGTAATGGAAAACATCAATATATTTTATACTTGTGCTACTATAAATAAATTTGTATGAATCCATAGGTAACTTTACGGTTACTCGTATATTGTTTAACAGAAACGACTAACGAATGATTAAATTTGTAATTGTTTACCAAATTTGAGTTAGTTTTAAATGTTAAGCTCCTGTGGTGTATATGCACCTACCTGCACACAAAAGACAGCATCAACATTCAAGCAGTGCACAGTAAAATATTAGAGATGAAACAATTCACTTTTTATCTATATTTTACTGTCTTATTATATTATTGTGCAGATTGTAAATTTGAAATTGCACATTAGTATTAAAAATAAAATAAAAATCGCATTATAGTTCATGGTTAAAATTCTATAAATCTCAGTAATCACACTGTTTATTTTATTTATGACATCAAGAATTATATGCAATGTTATTGTAACGGTTTTCCTCCCTACAGATATTCATCGCCTTGGCCGTGTACTCCGTTGCCGCCGAAGAAGGAGTAAGAGCAAAGAAACACGCCTACATCGCCGCTGCCCCAACTCGTGAGTGCCAATAAATTACAATTTAAATAAATTTAATGACGGTGATAACGCACCTATAGCTAACCTATAGAGCCTAAGCTAATCTAATCTATATAGATACAACAGAAGTGACGTTGATTGATTTTTTTTATCCACAGCGGTCTTGGGATACTCTGCCTCAGCCCCTGGATCTTTTTCATATGCATACTCAGATTACACCAGCTACCCGTACAACTATCCCGTGGCAGCAGCCGCATACCACGCACCCGCTACATACCCAGCAGCAGCTTACCCAGTAACAGCTTATGCTGCAGCCGCATACCCGAGCTACCACGAAGATGACGGCAAATACTGGCCCGGCAAATATGAAAAGTCTTACATCCCAGCCTACAAGACCGGATACCTAAGCTACCCCGAAGACGATGGCAAATACTGGCCCGGCAAATACGAAAAGACTTACATCCCAGCCTACAAGGCCAGATACCCGGTCGCCTACCACTACTGAACACCCCCACAACAATGATTCTCAACCTTCCTTTAACAGACTCGTAGATTTTTTAATTGAATTTTAACAATAAAAACGTGATGTTAGTTTTTCCATAAGTTAATTTTGTTGTTATTTATCTTCCTGTCCAGGCTGTGACACACAAACTGATATATAATATGATATTAAAATTACACCAATTTACTATTTATATTTGTATGAACTGAACATATCTAATACACTGGGTAATCAATCAGTGAAGTCTAAGGTACTAGTGCGACATTGTGCGATCTATGGCCAAAATATGTTATTTGTTGTTTGGCATTTTGGCCAGTATGAGTGTATGACCTACCGATAGAAATAATGTGAATATGTGATCATGGGGGCCCATTGGTGGGAGGGGGCACTCCTCCCCTAGAAAAATAATAATATGAACTTGTAATTATAAATGTAGTGACCTTGTAAATTGTTAAGTATAAAAATACACTATATTATGTTATACTTCTAATACACGATTGTTATGGTATAGATCAGGTATAGGTATACTATACAGTCACTACCTAGTCAGGTAGTAGGAAGTAGGTTAGGTAGATACGTATGATTATCGCAGATAATTTATAGTAAACCCATAAACATCAGAGCGATCAGCTATCGTTTCAATGATATTTTTAACAACTGCTTATATATGGCAGAACAAATCGATATAGAAATAAAAATTCTACACATAACATCCAAACAAAAAAATAGATCAAATTATGAAACCAATTCTATAAAAAGATTATTAATTAGGAATGAGAACTACAATTTATAGTTGTAATTATTTCGAATATTGTAGTTAAGTCAACTATTTTTTAATAGTAAACACTTTATTATTTTTAGTTATTGTCACTAAGCTTATAATTTAGATAACTATAAGTCTTAATTAACTTAACTATAAATATTGTTCCACCAAACTAAATTAAAAAGTATTTAGCATTAGAAAAATATAGTAAAACCGACTACATAATATTATTTTAGTTCGAATAACTATAATAACTTGGCTATAATATTTTACAAATCTGACTAACATTATAGCTATTCCTACAGCAATTATAAAATACAGTCAATCCTACTATTTTTATAGTATAATTAACTGTTTTTTTATTTTTCCGTGTATTTGAAGCTAACTATAAATTGCTAAGACTTATAAAATCAAAAAATACTTGACCGGTTTGGCGGTTTTTACCATTCAAGAAAAGCTTAGATATTAGATTGAACCAATTATTTGACTGTGGCTTACCCGCTATTAATAATCATAACCTATAATAATTTATTTTTGCTCGGAATTCGTTACATCTGGTATATAAAATTTTAGATTTTTTTGTTTTTTAAATTAATGTCGATTAAAAAATTCGTTGGATCAAAAGTCTTGAAAATGTTATACCACGTTCGTCATACCGCATAGGAGATTAAAAATAATTGTACCATTTGTCTCCTGGCTTGAATAAGAAAACCTAACAACGTATACTATACCTGTACACAATGTGTAAATATGCAATTTAGTTTACTTGAATGTTATTATATTCAGTTCTGACTTTATAAGCATTTGCATTGCTAATATTATGACTTATGAGTTTAATTGTTTAATCATAGAAATCTTACGTGTTAGTGTTGTCGGGATGTTAGCATTTTTGAACATAAGACATCTGATTGAATCGTTTCATGACGCACGGAAGAACACGCCAAAGAAATTGGTAAAATTATTATTGGTACTAAGTATTTTAATTTGTTAAATTGTTAACATATACCTGAAGTATATCGAATTACCTAGGTTTGGTTTTTAGAATATTCCTTAATACTTCACGATCGTCACATTTTAATAATAATAATATAGGGTCGAACGATGCATCTATTCGATGTAGGTCGTTGGTACCATAAAATAATATGTGATTATTATTTATTCTTATGCTTTAGGTAAGCGTGAGTGAGAAATCTTTAAACGCAAGTGTTCGAGTCAATTTAGATCCGGCAGCTAGTAGTATTGACATTGAACAGTTTCAAAAAGTGATGGAAATAAATCTGCAATTGGAAAATAGATTGACCGAGTTGGAAGGTAGTTGTTTCATAATAATATGACGGATACCTATCTAATATTAATATTTTCGAATATTAAACAAATATGTATCTAAAATAATCATTATTATGTAGAAATGATTCGACGCCGTGATGAAAAACAAAAGATTCAAGATCTAAAAGTAACTTACCTATTACCTATCTATTACCTATCTAAAAACCGCGACCGCGAGCGGCTAAACCGCTCCGTGTGTAACCAGCTTTACAAGTGCATAACATATACAAATCAAATGTTACATTCAGCAGTAAAGTAACTTTAAGTTACTAGTAAAGCTTCGCTAGCTTAAACATTAGAATGAATTGAACTCTTATACAATTTGCATCTTAGATTATTATCTAGGACATCGCATAGGCTTTTTTTTTATTAGATTACTATCTTAGCTTTAGTTTTTTTTCACTTTAATTTCTAATATCCCAGACCTAAACGTGATCTGCTAAGCATACAACTGCAGTCTATGTTACGCACTTGGAAGATGAAGACAATACACGTGGGTACCTATACGTCCTCTTAACTCAATTAAAAATGATCATAGACTTGACCAGTTCTAAATTAATTTATAACCTAAGTAAAGTATTATTTTATTTCGCATTCTGCAGTTGCGTCGGCTTGAAGATCTTATGTCATCGAAGTTGACACAATCTGCACACACTCAGACCGAGAGCGAATTTTCCCTATCCACGGTGCAAGATTTAAACAACGAGGTAGACAACAAATTGTCAAATTTGAAACAATCGTTGATGGAAAAAATTGACGATGAATTCATGACCATCGGCCGTGACGTTAAAAGTGTCAAACACTGTTATGGAATGTTGAATACCAGTTTTCACGAGATGGAAAATAAATTGATTTCATTAGAAAGTAATTAGTAATTTTTATCTAAAACACGTATGTCATTATCATATATTATATATTATGATTTATGATGTTTTTTTGTATAAAGGTAACTCGGAGAAGCCGATTCGCAAATATAACAATATTAAGACTAGGATTGCAACCCTAGAAAGTATGATATACATTGTCTATGTAATATTGATGTATACTGCATGAATCAATTTTATAGTTTTTACTTGACAAATTTTTTTTTATGTGTACGATATGTATGTGTGCAGGAGATGTAATGAAAAACACATCACACATCATCGGGATGAACTATTCGCATCGTCCGTTGGAATGGACTGGACCACAATCCTTCGGGTCCGCTGGAATGCTTTCTTCCGATAACCGCTGTTACGGCGAACCAGCTGCAGCATTCGCTACAGCTCCATCTTTCTATGATATGCCACCAATGGCAAAACCCGGGCAGAGTGTAGCAGTTTTGCCTCCATCGCCACCTGCACCCCCGGCGCCAAGTGCATTTGTGCCTCCGCCGCCACCTGCACCCCCGTCGACTAGTATAATTTGTCAACCACTGCCACCCGCACCCCCGGCGCCGTTGTCTCTGAATGCTCCGAAGAAATCGGATTTAGACAAATCCCAAGGAATTCCGAGGATCCTAATAACCACCGAGATACTAAAATCTGTTGTACTCAAGCCACCTGGCGAGAGGAAGAGAATTAGCAAATCCGTGACGATATAATCGCTGCGGTATTTTTGAAAATTATGTGCCTACCGCATACCAAAAATATATATGTAATTGTTGTTAACAAATATATAATTCATAGAAGTTGTCAATCATGGTATCATTGTTAACAAAATAAAAAACGGGTAATTGTGTGTCACTCTACTGTACAGAAGGTTACAATTTACAAGTACACCCATGGGTCACTGTAATGGATGGTGTTAAATTTGAATCCGATGATATAATATTATAATATATGAAAAAAATAATTATGAGCGGAAACAGTTTGTTAGGTTAACCTAACCTAACCTAACCTGGGATTTTTCTACTAAAAAAGAGAAACCTGAAGCAAGAGTCAAGGCTTGTAGTGCTGATATTGCTTCATGCACATAGGCGGAGATCTTGTGAAATTTTAAGGGGGGCTCAAATATTTGATGACAAACAGATCCGTGGGAGCATTGCCCCCCACCCCCAACAAACTAATTTTTACATTAGATCACTCATAAAAAATTGTTCTCGTTGACTCGTTATCATAACAACTTAAATAGTTACAAACATAAAAAAAAGAATAATTAATAAACGATTTAACTTTAAATATTTCAAACATATTTTAACTAAATTATTTATTAAAAATCTAAATCACAATCTCAAAAGAAATGTATTCCCAAGAACATCAAACAATAAGTAAAATATAATTTAGTATAAAATTGTCAATACGGTTAACGATTCATTCAATCGCGATAAACTTTACGATAGGTTTAATACAGCCTTAGCGATAGTCCTATAATAGCTATCGCTTCTCTAGAATTAACAAAAATTAGGAAAAGAAATAATATTTTTCCCATCTAAAATAGAATGGTATAATATGTTATTCAATATAGATGGCCAATTGGTACAAAATATGTACAATATTAGCCATTAGGTATATAAACACAATATAATATTATTGTGAATTGTGACTTTATTGTTCGGTATGTTACCGTAAATAATAAATTGGTAAATAGTGTGTATGTAATGAACTAGGTACACTTATATAATTGTGGATATAACAATATAAAATAATGAAAAAAGTTCTGCAAATTATACAAAATTACGGTATTGTTTGTTTAATATTCTTATGGGGTCTTTAACTTCAAATAATTTATTTTGGGGGGACTAAGCCCCCGTAAGCCCCCCTCCCGATCTCCGCCTATGGTTACATGTACGGAAAAAAGTTGGTAATTAGTTATTACTCATTAATTATTACCATCAGCGGTTAAAGTGGTGGGATGGAGTCCTCCTTATTTGAGGCAAAATTATTTAATTTAAGTTCTAAGTATGAGGGGACGCTTAACAAAAAATTTGCTAACGTGATATTCAATATAAATTTATTTCTATTTGTATTTTTCATGAAATGTATAAAACTATAACAATTTTAAAATTTAAATACATTTTTCTTAACATGTCAAGATATGAATTGCAATTTATTTTTACTGGGCAGGCATAATATGTGTAGGTATACTATAAAGGACTATTTTCCTTCGGGTGAAATTAATGTCTACTTCTTATACTTACATACACTTTTTACTAGCAAATAGGTGTGTAAAAGAAAAAAATGATGGAGGTTTAGACTCATTGGAGCTTCTTAAAACAATTTGGTTAGATATAGTGATTGGTATAAGAACTCGGGAGAGTTAATAAGTGGTTGAAATATTCCACTTCGAAATGACGAAATGATTTATAGGTACCGTAAAAGTTGTACAACACACAAACATGTCCAGACTTCGCTAAACTTCAGTCTTCCGTATTGTTTTATGGTATCAATCAATAATAATTATCAAACGATAATTTGCATTTCAAATTTGGTTATCCTGTACAAATCGCGCGCATGTTTGATAATATCAAATATCAATAAATAAACACCATAAACAGCTGTTTTGATAATGGCTACGAGTTTTAAAAAATTATTAGATTTTGTACTGACTAGTGTTCATCTAATTTAAAAAATGAAACTCCACAATTTTATTCGAAATTTTGATTCATAGAACGGAATTGTTCTACCAATGTATTTAAGTGTGATGTTTATAGTGAGTTTAAATATTTTATCTAATTTATTATTTATAATTATTTGATTGCTTGTGTTAAAATTTGTCTTATTATTCTTATTATTTCTAGTTGCTGACATGGGATCGATTGCTTCGGTCCTCCAGTGGCATTGTAGTTCTTGTTCACTGATAAATCCCACGGATCGAGTGACGTGTATTCGATGTAATGTACATAGAAGTTATGAGTGTAAGAAAAAGGTTGACCAACTCAAAACACGGACCATTCATGGTTGCCCGACCCCTTATGTCACCGATATTCTGTGTGCTGAGGCAGAAATTGCTGCAGGAGCCTTAAGACTTGATGATGCGTAAGAGAATTATTGTGTTTTATAATGTAAAATGTTAATTCTTTTATATTTCACAGAGACCCAACTAATATTGATCATAAACCAAGTGTAGTTAAGCTTCAATTTAAATCTGTTATTTTACAACGGCGTAAATCATGGAATGGATTTGAGGATCATTTACATGCATCCATCAGGCCATCAAAAAGTTCAACACTAGTTACAGCGGAAAATGATTCTTGGTTATGTAATACCTGTAGGATTAGAAACTGTTCAACTCAGCAATGTCAAAACTGTGATTCATTTAGAAGAACTAAAGGACGAAAAAATGAAATTGCCCCTATTACCATCGATATGCCAAACGGTAAGTGTGTAATAAAAATGTTATCAAATTTTGTTTCAATCAATAATAGTATGTAATATGTCATTTGTATTAGAGTTTGAAAAAAAATCTACAAGTAATTGGACTTGTGAAAAATGTTCTTTTACTTTAAATCCATTTTGGTCAGACTCCTGTGAATCATGTGGTTGGAATGCTATAACAATGATGCGTGACTGTGTACGATACACACCTCCCAAGAAAAAATGGGCATGTAAACGTTGTACCCTACTTAATGATCCTAATACAACAGTTTGCAATGCTTGTGGTGGATCGAAAGCTAAAAGTCTTTGCCCTGATGATGGAACACTACGAGAATTTTGGACATGTGATAAGTGTACATTAAAAAATAGAATATCAGCACTAGTATGTAAAGTCTGTAAAACAGACAAACGTGCAAATAAAAAAAGACGGTCTGATAGTCAGTGTCCAACTTGTACTTTTGACAATGAACCAAACGCTAAACGGTGTGCTATGTGTCACAAACACCTTGAACCAGAATATTATTCTTCTATATTAATATCCAATCATCCAAAAAAACAAAGTGAATTAATGGAAAACTTAAGACGAATTGAAGAGCAAGAAGCACGAGAAAAATGGAATGAAATAGTGCTGTTTTGTATCCAAGTAAATAGTTATTTTTGACAACCATTTTCTAATCTAAATTATTGTATAAAACAATTGATTTTTCAAAAATAACTAAATATATTACATTTTCAGTGAATGTATGACCATTTCCACTCTTGGGATATTTATTGGCACTTTCAATTTTTATTTTTTTCTGTGATAATCAATAACATTTTTTTTTGTTTTATCAAACAGCTTGATCATTTACTTCAAAATTCCTCATAATATGTTATACTATTTGGTTTAAAAATATAAAATATACGTTGGCACAATTTTTTTAAAACAATTAAATTTTGTCAACGATTCATGAAATTCATAAAAATTTGTCAATTATTTTATAGTTTTATAGGATTGAAAATTAAAAAAAAGATTTTTCATGAGTAATTCACATTATAAAAAGAAAACTGTACTAGTTATAGTTAAATAAATTTCTTTCATAGCAATAATATCATAAAATAAACTTAGTGATATAGACCGTAACTTCCCTCAGAATCGTTTTGCGTGTATAAGGATGTTATATCTTTGAATTCAAATTTAACAGATCCATTTTAGTAAGTCACCTGACACTTACTGTAGAGTAGTTCAATATTCGCTTTCCCTCCTTTTTATCATTGAATAACACGAATATTTTTGGTTTCTGTTAATGTTATTTATGTTCTACAGTAGTTAGCAAATTAAACAGTTCAATAATTTATCCAAGTAGAATATAAATATATTAAAAAATAACATTATATACCTACTACATTTTATAAGAAACTATAACAATATGATTGCATACATTTAAATACATTATGAGTTTATTTTTAATATTATAGAACAGTCAAGAATTTGTTGATGATTCTTTTCCTCCAGCTGCAAAATCGTTATATTATACAGAAAAACACGAGAGCTGCCGAGTAACGCAATGGTTAAGACCTGAATCTATAATTTGTTCAGAATTAGATAAAGAATCATGCTGGACTGTGTTTAGAAAACCAAAACCTTCAGATATAATTCAAGGTAAATAAAGAAAAATAAATAATTTTTAAGTGTAATCTTATTTTTAGTATTTTTAAAAATTAAAATTAATGAGTTAGTTATTAGTTATTAAGTTTAAAAATATTAGTAAAATAATAATTTTGTATACTTATTACTTAGTTTTAATCATTAAGGTTGATAAATTTAGGTGTTTTGGGTAATTGTTGGTTGTTGAGTGCTTTAACCGTCTTGGCAGAACGTGAAGACTTAGTTAGACATGTTATGGTTACCAAAGATTATTGTCAACAAGGCGCATACCAAGTTCGACTTTGTAAAGATGGTAAATGGACCACAGTCCTTGTTGATGATTTATTACCATGTGACCACAGGGGAAATCTAGTGTATAGTCAGGTTTGTATATGCCTTATTACTTTTATGCGTTGAAATAATAATTAATTATTCAATAGGCAAAACGTAAACAATTATGGGTTCCCTTGATAGAGAAAGCAATAGCTAAACTCCATGGTTGTTATGAAGCACTTGTTTCTGGTAGAGCAATTGAAGGACTTGCCACATTAACAGGAGCACCTTGTGAAAGTGTGCCATTACAACCATCATCAGTTCCGACAGAAGATGAACTAGATCGTGATCTGATATGGGCGCAGTTATTAAGTTCACGCCTTGCTGGTTTTTTAATGGGAGCATCTTGTGGAGGAGGTAATATGAAAGTAGATGAAGACGCTTACCAAAATAAAGGACTAAGACCAAGACATGCCTATTCTGTATTGGATGTTCGAGATATTGATAGTCATCGATTGTTGAAGCTAAGAAATCCTTGGGGACACTTCTCATGGAATGGTGATTGGTCTGATGATTCAGACATGTGGTCAGAGAAATTAAAAACAATGTTAATGCCAGATGGATGTTGTGAAGGAGTATTTTGGATATCATATGATGATGTCTTAAAGTAATTATAAAAAATATAAATAGTTGTTTTTTTTAAATTAAAATCTGTTTATTTGCTATTTAGGTACTTTGATTGCATTGATATCTGTAAAGTAAGAAATAATATGTGGAATGAAGTAAGGCTTAAAGGATATTTGCCACCATTATCTTCAACTGATCATTTATCATGTGTTGTCCTCACCGTCTCAGAACCAACTGAAGCAGAATTTACACTTTTTCAAGAAGGACAAAGGCAAATTGTTTTATTAATTTTTCTTTACATCAAAAATATTTATTAATTTTCATACACATATTGTTTTTAGGAAATCGGAAAAGTGTAACAGAAGTCAGCTCGATTTGTGTGTAGCAGTAATGAGAAGTAGAGAAGTTACATCAGAAAAACCAATTTGCATTGGTCGTCTTGTTGAACACAGCAAACGCCAAGTTCGTGGATTTGTTAGCTCACACAAGATGTTGGAGCCAGATGTTTATGTTGTTGTTTGTTTGGCATTTAATCATTGGCATACAGGTTTATTTTAATTTTAATTAATCATACAAATGTGCTAAAATATATATAAGGTGATTCACCAAGCATGTCAACTTTTGTATCCTTTAATAATGCACACAAATTTCTAATTTTTGGAATTTTCAAGTATATTAGGACCATGTAAAAAAATATAATTTAGGGAGTGTCCTATGACATGTATTAAAATGTATAAAATAATGAAAATGGTTCTTAATAACTGTATCACATAAATTATAAAAAATACATAATATTTAGTCCAATAATTAGTAATTATGCTCCAACAAATTTTACAAATTATAAAATTTAATTGATTAGTCTTAATTAATACAGTTTTCAAATCATCATATCTTGAAATCCCTATTAGCATATACTAATATTATTATCTTTGGTTCACAAAGTTTGATCACTCAAACACTACTCATTCATTTTCCGATTTAAATATTGTACTTTTCACCACAAATTACACGGTGATGCAGGTCATTAAAAAACTGTGCCAGTTTTTTTTTTTACATTCTTATTGTTGTGTCCGAAATAATACATATAACACAACAAACATTATTTTATTTGAGTTATGATAAATTGGGTAAAATGTTGTGTCCCGCCTACTGTAAACAGTAAACCACACCAAACGCTACTAGGCTAAAGACTAAAATATAAATTCCAAAAATAAGAATTTGAATAAAACATCTTTGGTGAATCACTCTTTGTATGATGCACAAATAAAATAAACCTAGTTATAACTTGTAATAGATGTATTTATCTATTTTATATTTGTAGATTTGGTAGATCCTTCAGTTTATCCTGAGTTTGTTTTGGCGATTCATAGTTCTAAACGATTATTAGTAGAACAGGTGTCACCACCTTCCTTTGTTTTAGCTGATACAATTATTAACTTAACTTTAGCCAAAGGACAAAGACATGAAGTGAGTTTATCTAGTTTAATTAGATAATATTATAACTATAGTTAAAAATAATATTATAGGGCCGAGAAGGAATGACTGCTTACTATTTAACCAAAGGATGGGCCGGACTTGTTGTTGTAGTAGAAAATCGTCATGCAAATCGTTGGATACATGTGAAATGTGATTGTCAAGAAAGTTATAATGTTATGTCAACCAGAGGATTACTTAAAACTATTGACTCTGTTCCACCTCTGCATAGGTAAGTTATAAGACTATATTGATTGTTTTCACTTAAAAATAATTTGTATAACTTTTTTTAGACAAGTTATAATTGTATTGACTCAATTAGAAGGAAGTGGAGGATTTTCAATTGCTCACAAATTGACTCATAGATTGGCAAATCAAGCTGGACTTCATGATTGGGGACCACCAGGATGTTCTCATTTGCCACAAATACAAAAGTCTATTGAAGGACTACACTCTCCTAGACTGATTACTTAGTATTATAAGGCAAAAAGTACAGTTAATATAAATTTCTGTGATTTTCATTTTTTTTTTTACTTTCTATAGTGCGAGTACAAATAATTAAATTAGGAAAACCAAAACTATTGTAAAAAGGTTGCAAATAAAAATTATATGATTTTATTGTATTTATTAAATTTTGTGTTTATTCAGTACACCTGTGTTCAATTCTTAGAACAAAAAATTGTTGATTTATATAAGTCTCGTATTTTTTTATCAATTTATTATATTTATTATTAATTTTTCCTATAATTTATTTAGTTATCTACTACACAATAATTTCCAAAAATAATAAACATTTGTTAGATTTTTGGATCAGAAAAGACTAATTGGCTAATAATTGTACTCAGTGATTTATCTTTTGTTTGTGTAATTGTGTGTGAAGCATATTGTCTGTGTTTATATGAAAGTGCAAACTATTTGAAATCCATTTGAAAAAAGTCAACAACAATAACACGGCAAAGGTTATTCGAGTTCAAAGGTCTCAAAATTACCTTTTTTGAATAAATCACTTTTTAATGGTTGTATGTACTATAAAAAGTTTTAGTCAAAAATTTCAGAGAATATATAATATACAATAATATAAAATTTAGGAGCACTCTTGGGAAAGAGGGTATCGTGTGAAAATAATTATTAAATAGTAACTACCTATATTTTTTATCTTTTGTGAGGATTCGTGATCAATATCAATCTAATGGATGATTTCCCATGTATTCATTTCGGCGAATCTTTGATTTTTGCAAACGTTTCGGCGTTTTCTGGAACAGAAACTAATATGGTCCGAGAATTCTGCGTACAGTGACTTAGTTTAGTAAAATATTTTGTAAACAAATTTCTAAAAAAAAAACAACACTGTCAGGTCAGAGATGTCCTGCATAACAGCTAGCTGTATATCGTTTATGTTATTAGAATAACGCAGTAAGAAACTGTAACAAATTAAATAATAATGACCGAAAAAAATTGTTTTTAACGAAAATGAAGTTAACCTACTGTAAATACTATTTTCTAAAAGTGAAATGAATTACTTTAATCATAGTAACATCAACAAATATACTAAGTAATATCATAGGCTGACAAACCGTCTACACTCAGAATAGTTTTTCAAACACAATGATTTTATATCATTGAATTCAAATTCAACATCATTCATTACTGAGACCCACTTGGCACTTGTGACCTACCTACTGTACAACAGAGCGACATCTCCTTACACGCTTTTTTAATGAATAACAAACATGGTTTTTTTCTTAAACAATATATTAATATTATAATCTATATCATTATCACCGATTTCATAAAACTATGTAGGCAAGGTGTACTTATAAATACACTTTGTTTGTATTCAATATAATAATATATTAGCCATAAGGTATTAAACAGATAAACATTTAATAAATTACCTGAGATAATTCTTTAGTTCACGTTTTCACAAGTTGTAATTAGGTATTTATGTAAATTAAAGTAAATCAATTAGATATTTTTAGTCTTGATCATACAATCAAAACGTTTGTTTTTTTTTTAATTTTAAATTAATGCATTTATAATAGTATTAAATAGGGTTCCAAATATTTTTCTGGCCGATACAAAATCAACAAAACATCGTTACGATAGATTTGACTAGTATAAATTATTTATAACGAATTGATCACCACCCACTAGCTAAGCTACCTCCAAGCATCTACTTACGCATCGTGTTCTATACATTCAGAGTATTAATTGTTGTATCGTTGTACGCTCATAATAAAATATGTCTACCGCAGATTTTAACGACAAATCCGTTATGCTGGAGTTAACGGAAGGCGAAAAGATGAAGAGGATATTTGTCATTTGAAGACCTGAGTTCGGCAAAGTTCAACATTCCTACTACATTTTTGACACGAGTTGGAACATGGCCAACGTTGAAAAGAGTCTACGAGTCTACGCCGAACGTGGCCACAACTATTGTCATCAACCAGCCGCAGCAGGAGACTCCGAAGTCTACCACCAGTGTTCGTCCGCTCCGGCCGAGCTGCCCTGCAAGCCTTTTGAGCTTTCTGACGTGCTGACACAAAACATTCAATCCATCGGACGTCGAGATGAAGGACGTTTTCCTGCAGGATAATGGTGCTGTGGGTTCGATGGATCCGCCGAAAGGAGTTAACACGTTATCGTGTACGTCCGCGCAGTCGGCGCCCGAACTACCAGCAACATCGCCCAAGATCCGGGAGACAAACGCATTTGAAGACTGTTCAGCGAAGAGTCGATGGTCTTCAACGCCAAATATACATATAACTTTTGGACTGGTGGACCGCCCGGAACGGGTAACAGAATGCAGTGAGTAGTGACGGCAACGAGCAGGAGTTGGTCAGTGACCTGATAAATCCTAAATAATTCGTCCGGCGCATGTTTTGCTGCGCCGTTCAGAGGGTGACCGCAACCACTTAGTTGCTAAATGAAGTAATTAATTATTACCGAAATAATTGAAAAACAATTTTTGTTCATGAACTTGATTTACATAAATAAACTTACAGCTTTGTTATGCTACTTGTCTAGTTGGTTTTTAATTGAAATAGTATTATATTATAATCAAACGCTTCAACATTCAACACCCTAGCGTAAAATTAATTTGTGTAGCTTGTGAAAATCGTAACTATATTGCATAGAGTAAAGTCTTACTCTATGCTATATTGTAAATCTCTAAACTCTATTCATAGAATATAGATAGTATAGAACGGCCACTCGATTAATTTTATGGTTTCTATAAACGCGACCGGTGGTACGATTTTGAACTAAAACTCATACCCCGCGCGCAGCCCACCTACTATCTAGTATCCATACTCTGTAGCATTATCAATATTGTTATTTATGATTTTAATATTGGCAAAACACTATTTGTTTGAAAATCGTATTCCATTATATTCCATTTTGATTTTTCTGAAGTAATTTGAGTATTAACTATTAACACATAATTTCTATGTATAACCGTATGGGTAGGTACATAATAATACTCAATAAATAAATTCTAGACAACACAATTATTTAATAATGATAAAATTGAAACAGCTTTATTTTATAAACAAATAATACAAAATATTATTAATTATTACTAATAATAAATACAAATAATAACAAAATATGAATAATAATAATAATAATAATAATAACATAGCTCATATTAAATGATAATAATTTTATATAGAGCCTTGTTTTAAATTATGAATTTTTATATTTTTTGGTTTATGTTTTTTATAATAATCCATAGCCAATTGTTGTAAATCGTCATTTATTTTACCATGATTTAATATTTTACCTTTTAAAAGTGAATTAATTTTTTTAGTATATGTAAATAAAAAGAAATTTATAACTTTTTTTTTAATAATATCTTTTAAATTATGAACTGTGCAATTTAATTTGATTTCGACATTTATTTCAATAGCTAAATTTAATTTTTGAGAAATTTTGGGTAAATGACATATAAGAGGAGTATAATAACTTAAAATCATAAATATATGTTCAATAATTTCTTCAAATATTTTTGATGGATTTTTAAGGCTTTTTTTAGTATATGACCTGGCTTTAATTAAAGAGTTCTCTAATGTTTTTTTAATTATATCATTCTTGCAACATTTACAACCACCAATGGATTTCAAAATTGAACGTGCAATATAGCCTCCTACATATCCAAATGTGAAGGAATTAAATTTTGATTTTAGTACTGAACTAGGAATATCTAATGAGATGGGTATATTAAATAGATCATCTGCATTTACATTTGTTACGGGACCTTCTAAAAATGATTTTAAATTGTCTAACACTGTACAATCATCAATTTCACAATTCCCCATAGATTTTACAGAGCTAAAATTGTTGATTAACAATGTCTTAAAAGAAGAAACAAATTGTAAAGCAGTAGGGTTTGTATTGCGGACGCCATGGCTACGAATACTTCCAAAAAAACATTCAATTGAGTCCTGATTAATATTACGAGGAATTAAAAATTGGAATTTATGTACGTTTTTCAATTTGTTCCATAAATAAGTGAAACCACGGAGTGTTAATATCCAGTTTTTAATGCATGGTGGAGTACTTTGTTTACCATTCACTTTATCGACAAACTTCATAGAGGTGAATACTTTAATTGCATCAGACCAGAAGGAAACATGAGGTGACTTATCTTTGACTGCAGATCTCAATGGTTTTCCATCATTTGATAGAACCGTACTACCATTGACTGAATCGAACACCATATCCATAAATAAAAGAAATTCTGCTGTCCCATGAGCGTTTGATAGTTTACCATCTTGAGCTATAACATATAAATATATAATATTATAAATTATAAATAATCTAACAAACCCAAAAAATTTATTTTATGTTTTAATGTACCATATTCTGTCATCAATCGTAATGTGGCTGCTACTCGTTGGCTCATAGTCTGAGCTGCAATTGACACTCTCATTTTTTTAATTTTTTCTGGAATAATGTGGGCTTCGGTAAGTTTGGGAAGAGTTCGAAGGCCACATGTTTCATTCCTCAAATCTAACTCATACAAAGTTTTTATATGATCCCATGAAGCTCTGTGTGTTTGACCATTTTTTTTGAATATGACATCTTTTGTAAGTAAATTATTTCGTATAGTTTTCAATAGATGAGGGGGGTCAAAAATAGGTATTATTTCTTCATTGTTGATTGTGAATCCAAAATATTTATTTTCGACATCATTTTGTAAATGGTCCCTGTTTGTTTTTTCTTTTAAAGTGTTAATTGCTTTAGCATTTGAGGTACCTTGATCACAAACCGTAGTTATGATTTTTAATCCTGTTGTTTGAACTGCAGTAATCACTTCATTGATACATTTAATTAATTGTGGTGTCTTAGTTACACTTTGACAAAAATAATAGGCGATGGGCTGTTTCCATTTGCGATGAATTCCACGCAATAAAAATACCAACACATGGTCACATAAAATTCTATTTTTTTCATGTCTTCCAAAATTTTCAAAGCCATATACCATATCATCTTTGATATTGTACGCTGTAGCTGGTGCTATTGCCATTTCATCAAAAACCAATGAACATAATCTGTCGTTAGGTTTTAATTGTGTTGCTTGATGTGTTAAATTGTTAATAA